AACCCTTCCTCCCTTAACGCTGGCGTTATCAGATTTTATTTTTTCCCAAATTGGAATACTTCTGTATAACTGAATTTATTTAAATACACTATCAGGAATTAGCGCGATGAAAAAATTTTTAAATATGTATAAACAACACGAAAATTTAATATGAACTACTGAACGTAGGTTTTAGCAGGGAGCCATTAGTACTTACGATGCGTAAAAAATTCCTCATTGCTCAGACTTTCAGGTCATTTTACTGTGTAGGATTATATATATATATATATATATATATATATATATATATATATATATATATATATATATATACGGTTTACAAATATCAAAACTCTGAAATAAATTCTTTACAGCAATTTTATATTTCTCCTATTATTCTATTTTTCCAAGAACATTTTATGCAAAATTGTAAAAACAGTACCAACCCGGTAACGCTAACTAATGTCAAAATCTCACGAGCAGTGTTTTTGACACGTCGAGATTAAGGTTTTTATCTCAAAATACGCACCATGATAATTAGCAGTAATGATCAGATAGAGTTATTACTAAAGAATTGTTAGCAATTGAGTTACGTAATTAACTGTACTGGCAAACAAGCTGGCGGTAATGGTAAGTGGTAATAGACATGTGCATTACTGTGGAGATAAAGATTACACGGTGACGCCCATGGTATCCATAATGTTTTTCCACAGTAGCGGAAATGCTTTGTGTCTTTTGTGTTGTAATAAAATGGACTATCACTCGATCTGAATGAATATATTGGTCGCATAAATTTAATAACAAAATGTTTTATAGGTATTCGAATTATTAATATCCTACTAGGCTTGCTTTGGATTATATTGTACTGTATTTTCCATGTCATTATGTTTTTTTGAAGTGAAATCGTTTTAATGCCCAACGCGCCTACATTGGGCATTATTTGAGATGGGAAAAAACTATTAAACTCGTTACTATTACCGATACTTCTATATATAAGTATATATGTTGTGTATATACGTACATAGATACATATGCATTTTGGCATTTTTTGAGATGGAAAAAAACCATTGAACTCGTGACACTGTTACTGTAACAACGATATCTCTGACGATTAAAAAAATATACACGTTCAAGATTTCACTTCTGTTGGCACTCCCAGAGTGCTACTACCATTTTTTTAATGGATAATAATGGAACGGTAGCCCTGACTACGCTTTCGGTATACGCTGGCAGGGTATTAGTGATGGATGATAGATAAGCCCGTCGTGATGAATACACCTGGAATTCAGCACGATGGTTTCCAGGGGGAACCGCGAAGAGGCCGACTTGACAGGATGTATTTGCTAGCAATAGGTTCGCTATTCTACTTTACAAATGTTTCCCCAACTGGTCATATATTAGGTAAATAGCGTGTATAAAACAAGTAGACCAAAACAAGCAGATGTAGTCATGAAAACAAAATGTTTATATTGAGCGGGGATCAAGTTTGTATAATTTATAAATTATGACTATTAAGGTCATCAAAAACATAAAAAAAATTGTGTATAATTTAGTTATATTTTATGCACCTGCGATTTAAATCAATGAATCATTCGAAAATATTTCTTTTAATTATAATCTTCATTGATGTCGTGCAATACCTAAACTAATATTAGCTTAGGTTTACTAAAAATAGACTTATAGATTCATCATCATCATATCAGCCTTTAACTGTCCACTGCTGAATATAAGCCTCCCCCATAAGGGGGATTCTACCAGTAGTTGCTATATTTGGCAGGAAGGTAGGCAACCGCAGCCAGGTTGGCAACCGCAACCAGGTTTTGGTGATATTCTAAGACGGACACTGATGCCCTTTACTGTTAAGTTTTCTTAGTCGTTTCTTACGATACCCACGGAAAAGGAAGGAGTGGTCCATTCTATGTCGGGACCACACGGCAAAGTGGGGGGGGGGGGGGGGAGTTGTTAGTAATACGGATTACCAGTCCCATTGTTAGTCATATGCCCAACCAGGTCGAGTTTCACGTGGTCCCCCCTGAAAACTATCGTGCTGCATTCCAGGTGAATTCATCACGATGGGCTAACTGACCTGCTTTTTCATTTGCACCTATCATCTCTCAATGGTGCCCCATCAGTGTATACCGTTAGCGCAGGCAGGGCCTTTCCATTATCTTCTATAAAAAAAGACCACATGGCAACGACACGACTTATAGATTAATATGAATTAATTAATTTTACGAAATAAGAAAAATATGATCGCCCTAACTAGCGACCGTACTTTGTTATTTATTTTGTCGATTATTAACCGACTTCAAAAAGAAGGAGGTTCTCAATTCGGTTGATTTTGGATTTATGTTTGTTACCTCATAACTCCGTCAGTTGTACATTTCGATTTTCGATTTGGAAAATTCTTTTTTTTAGAATGAATATACTTTTACATATTGGTTTCATAGAAATCTTATCAAAATTGATTCAATAGTTTAGTTTTTAAAACAAAATAACTGTATTTGTCACAACTGAAGTCAGTTTCTTTTGTGGAACACAATCTTAATTAATTCGAAAAGTTTTCGATGCATTTTATTTCAAAGTTAACATAATTATAATAATATATTTACTTTCTGGCTAAATTAAAGTCACTAAACATTAATATTAGTAATACAGCACACCGATTAGGTAAAACGGCTTGACTATATACTCTTTGCCATTATAGACGTAATACGTATGTGTACATACAAAAAAAAAAATTATGGAGTAGATATCCTTCTGATGACACCGATCACGTAGTGCTCATATAGACGTGTAGAATTAGAAGTTGTTGTAATTGAAAAAATAGAATGATCTAAATCGTTTAATCCATGTCAAACGGAAGATTGCGGCAAATATATCAGTTGTACAGTCATGTCGCTACCGAACCACCCGCTATGTTTACGCTATGACTCGCAAATAGTGTTGGGTAAAAATCGGATATCAATTAATCTATACTATTAATCTACAACCCAGTATAACGATTATTACTTTCTTAGATGCAATCAATAAGCAAATCGATTTGGTATCGAATAAATCGATATCTAGTTTAACGTAATTTAACCGATTATAACCTAATTATTTTAATTTTAATCGAATAATTGTTTATATAACACAAGGTTCTTTATATATAAATTCTTTATATTATCGATAATTATATTATTTCTGGCTTCCATCGAAAAATCGATTAATAGTCGATATTTAACGACGATCAGACGACACTATTTGCAAGCTTCGAGGACACTCAGACGACGGATCGTGTGTCAACTTTTTGTGCTCGCTGAGTAGATCAAAAGAGATGTCACGTGTGATTACTACATCATACATATAATCTCTTTGGCTCCCACTCATGATGTTCCTGACATGAACCTCGTTTCAAACGATATAAGCTAGCCAATATTGTTGCACACGTCAAAATATCCTGCTTAAGGCTAATTCGGAGCGAACAATTTATATGTGCGGCCCACGCTTGCTGAAATATGGTGCACAACCCTTTTATGCAAAGGATTTATTGACACGACTTACGCTTCAATGAGCAGACACTACACTTGTGGCCGGTTGACATGTAACTCATACTTATCGTGATCTATGACACAACGTAACCTCGAGGCCTTCTGCACCACGCCACGCTTCAGAGATTACAAATTAAAATATAATAAAATATGACGCTGTAGGCGAAAAACGTTGTAAATCAATGTATGGTTTGCGGTTCTCTTTTTCTTTTTAAATTTTAATACATTGCATTAAAAATATACAGTAAACAAATATTCCATAAACAGATCGTGAAAAAAGCATAAGACTCGCGTCACCAATTTTCATTTCCCTAGTGAAGCGTTTCTGGCTTTCTGCCAAAGTTTCCGAGAAAACTGGAGAAGGTTACACGATGTCCCGCGTTGCTTTATATGCCTAAATCGTGTCAAAGATTATATTTTCATAAATTTTTCGGATCTAAATAAATGCGTGTAGAGTCGACCAAAGTAGGTGTTGAGAATAAGTCTGGCAATATATATATACAAGATCGAGCGGGAGTGGCAATCATGACGTTTTCTTGGCACTTGTTGTGAGGAAAAAAATATATAGTAGGTATGCCATGGTTGTCTGGAAATTTGTCGTATATTAGTGATAGGACCGATATATGGTGAGTGTTGTTAAGTAGGACACATATAATAAAGTTGTAGCCGGGTGTAAAATGCGTCGTGATTGCTGCATCCTAATCTGAACGCTGGCGCCCGTCACCCTTCTTCCTTATTATAGGTGATATGTGCATAGATTGAGGCGCGCTGTAATATACGGTATATAAATTTAATGTACGTACAGTAAGCAACGACCAACATAAAGATCAATATGTTCTCACGCAACATGTCTCAATCGTTATCAGTGCACTCGTGGAGTGAGGTTAATTAAATAGTTACGAGAGGCAGATAACAGTGACGCCTATTTATAGAGGCCAGGCCACGTTATCGACCTGAAGCATCTGATAGCCAACCTATCTACAACACCTAATCATTTGTTTTCTTTTTAATGTTTGTAGTTCCGATAATTTATAGATACTTAAACTAAATATATTTCTTATTAAATTGCGACGGCGAGAAGAGTAAAATTAATATTGTTCATGAATTTTCTGTAATGAAGTAGGTATTAATTTATAAATTGCATTGCAATAGATTGTATGTAGATAAGTACTTATTTTATTCAGAAAATAAAAAAAAAAAACTAATATTAAAATTTTTGAAAACTACAATCTACTTAATTATCTTTGTTAATGAATTTTGTAATGGTTTGATTATCGTATCACCGAGTTGCTCGTTGCGTAATCCATAGGTTTGACTGAGTCTGATTGCAAATGGTTATAGTTTTTATTCATTGATTTTTATACATAAAAGTGGATTAATGTTCTTCTTTTATAGGAAAAGATCCGATGAAGGATATTTTTCTATTTATGTTTATTAATCTCGAACATATTTAAAATCGTATATGTAAATTTGTAATATTTGTTGCAGAATGTCAGTTTGGCAAGCAACCGAAGGAGTTAGGCTCTTCGTGGTATGCGGACCTGGGGCCTCCCTTCGGTGTCATGTACTGCATCATATGTGAGTGTTTACCGGTACGTATTCTCCACATTCTAGTGCTTATGAACTGATCTGACATTGAAATATGTACCAGATACTTTTTATATAACTTGAAAAGGCAAACAAAGTGATGAATCATCTAATGGAAAGTGGTAACCGTCGTTAATAATCGCCAACAACACCATGGTACACTCCATGTGTTGTTACTTTGTAATTTCATGATATATCTCATCGTTCAAGTTAAAACACAACCATGTAAACGCATAACTGCTTAGCGACAAAAACACAAGTAGGACAAAAGTTAAATACTTTTGTCCTACTTACAGACGAACTCTGTACAAAGTTTCTCTCTGGTAAACATTATCTCATCATGATGATGAAAGAGTACAATATATCACAATTCTTTTCTATCGGAATACAGTACAAAACACTAGCGTTAAAAAAAAACTCGATGTAGAATCCTATACCAAGTCTCGTGACCACCTTTGTCACAGTAGGATAATATTCTTCTTCGTGGTGACCTTGTGTATCGTTTCTAGTTACTTATCAGACAAGTTCCAAATACAAGTATGTATTTATTTTGTGCCACTATACTTTATGAAGGTTACGAGTATTAACAACTTTAGATCAAAATATTTAAAATATGCATGTCTTGAATATTCTGGATAATCGCATAAAATTAATGTCAATATGAAACGTACGTATGTATATGTAAGTCTATTATAATGAATTTTATTTGTTTACACACGATTGCAACTGGACCAATGTACGTAGGATGGGACTTAATGAGGGTAGTGGTATAATGTGAGTACGTTGTACTATGTCTGTCGTCGTATACATTTAAAATTATTATACTTAGTTGCAAAACAAGTTTGAAGAAATGACAATAACAGTATTGTAGAAATTTAAAATAATTCCAAATTTGGTATAATTACGGAGCAAATATGAAAAGAAATTTGATTTATGATTCAAAATGTAACCATCGAAATCGGTTCACAATAGGCGAAGATATCACAAAACCTAAATAGGAAAACCTCCTGTTTTTGGTTTACATTTTTATCGCCATATATTCTGTTTAAAATAAGCATTTTAATAATATATACTTTGTTATGTTGTAGGTGCAAAAAAAACGTAGGATGGTGGCGAAAGTGCACTGCCGCAATATAAAGAACGACTGTCCTGTACCATCATGTGACACCCCCGTGCTACTTCCTGGCAGGTGTTGCAAGACTTGCCCAGGAGATGCCAACAGTAAGTAACTATCAATTATATTGAAAGTAAACATTAATACTCGATTTACATGAATTAAACACTCGTATATCGTATGATTTAGTAGGAGCATGTAAATAGTAACTTTCAAGTGATTAACAAGTACTTTGCACTTTATAGTACCATTTTATATGTAAAGGATTCACAATTAGGTGATAGTAAAAACATTGAAGCATGTATTTTTAGTTTATATTAAACTATTAATCACTAGTTGAACCTTAAAGGTACAGAATATTTAAAAAAAAATACTAAAATTGAAAATACGAGTAGGTAGTTACATGTTGTCCAAAAAACATGATTTGACAAACAAAAATTAACACAGTGCTTCCAACTGTTAATTTTGTATGGAATTTTATTTTTTTTAAGTTTTGTAATTACACATTATATTGTAATAACTACCAATTTAATTTACGTGTAATTAGACCGAGAAAGCTCGACTAGTTCCGTTACTATTTGGGATCCTTAATCATGAGTGGCAGTACGAGTCTGATTTTGTATGGAATGCTAAAAATGTGCTCTCAGGCCCAGGTATCTTTGGAAAAATGGGCAAATTTACAAATAAAATACACAAATGCGAAGGAGGCTAACAATTTCAATTTCACTCTATATGTTTGATAGTATAATATATCGTTTAGTAATATACACCAGCCTTTGATATCTATGTACATTGTACGTACATTTAATTGTATAAGTATTACAATATAATAATTATGGAACACTTGTACCTACTTTTCCATAATTTTACTTTTATATCATATTTCACTTCGCTAAGTGGCAACAACCAATCATCAATATAATATTGACCTTGGTGGTGTAGTGGTCTCACCTTTCTGTTGCGGGTTCGATTCTCGCGTAAATATTGCAAACATTTGTATTTATCAATATGTTTGTGTTCTGTGTAAAATATATGCATTAAAAACAGAATGTTCATCAGTTATCTATTGTAAATTCAACATGTACTTAGTTTAAAACAGGACGGCGTTGTATCAAATAGTATATTTTTACTATATGTGTTGACTACAACACATTTTCATTTCTTATTTTTTATATTTTCTTTTGTAATTTCTGTGGCGGTTTCATAATTATTCTAGAAATATAAATTCGAAAACATTAATGAGACAGACAGTTCATGTAAATACGTCTATGAGGCAGATAGAGCACTTAATTAAGAAAACACGAAGCTACTCTTCACATGTTGTTCTCTAGAATCTTTCGACGTTATTATCACAAACTTCATGATAAAATAGAAAATATGTAGAACAATTACCGCTATCAATTGATTTCCGCAGAACAGCGATATCTGTTGCTTTATATCACTTTTATATACTCCATGTCGGTTTTTAAGTAGGTATACAGGTTCAATATGATAATTATCTCATTGATGAAAATACCATAAATAATAAAAATATAAATGGCGAATTCGAAGTAATTAGCTTTTTATGAAAGTATTTCACCAGCAAAACCATCTACTACTTTTTCGCAATAAAAAATAGGTCGACAAAATATTTCGAACCTTCCGTACTAACAGCGCATTCAGCGGGTCAGTTAGTATGGGAGGCTTTTCTTTCACTGATGGTGTTGAATAGTAAAGATATAAAATATTTCTGAAATCTAGCAGGGGAGGTACAAATAAGTGATGAATCCAAATTGGTAAATTTTAGAATAGTTGCTTAGGCAACTTTCTGTTTACTATGTCGTTATGAAAGAGTTGACTTTTTACGTTTAAAAAATGCATTTTTATTGAGTCAGTTTGAGTTTATTATAATTTAGATTTTATCTGAATATTTTCTACATTCTTTTAGTAGCAATGTTTACGTGAGGTTAATAAGGATAAATTTTAAATAATAAACACAATCAAACTCGCGAGCACAGTTAGTCCCAAATATTGTCACTTGATCAAAGCAGTAGACCATGTCTGAACTGGATGATGTCACGTCTTTTTTGGTTGTTACATGATACACAAGTAATAAAGGGGAACGGTTTATTAGGAGCTAATAAACACATCCATTAAACATTGTATCCACATTTTGGTGTCTCGGCAGTATTAGCGAGTCGATGCCGTCTCGATGATATTGGAAACATATAGTGAACCAACAGGTTAGTGACTCACGGGCCATCTGTCGCGAAAACTATCCACACATGTGGAAATCGAACGAACGATATACAGCTTTATGAAGTTTTGTATGTATGCTCCTTGAATGACTGGCATTAATATGCCATTTTCGGGTGACCCGTTCCGCTTCGTGAAACATGACACTTTGTCGATTAAGACTATAGATGCAAATAACAGAATTATTAATAATATAATATATGACAACGGATTCGGTAGTAAATATTCTTAAACCTAATAAAAAAACACTAGGTATCTGAATGTTGATTGGGTAGCTACTAAATGTTTATCATAAACACATCACATTTTGTAATACCTATCTGCTATAACGTATCGTATAGGCGTCATCCATCATTCCCTTAAGTAGGCGCATATTTTTTGCGGTATCGGCAAACTTGCAGTCTTTAAAAGGTAATTGCGGAATGTAAGAAAGTATGCGTATGCGATGTGACAGGAACTGGCGATGACAAATGACAGTTGACTGGCGAGCGGTGGCTCCCACGGCTCTCATCAATATACATTAAGTGTAAGATTTACACTACAGTAGGACGTTTGCTTATGGATTCACATTACACTATTAAGTTAACATTATGAGAAATTCTCTATGACGAATACGCATTGTCAGCGAAATATCGTATCTTAAGTAGTTAAAATTACCCGTATCAACAGCTCATTAAGGTACTATTCCTTGGCAAATAGACGAGAGAGAGTCAAATAGGAGGAAGATTAACCTATTATGATCACGCTGATCAACCCGCTGATTTTAACGATTACAACCAGAACTGATCTGAAAGTGGAATGCACTAGGGTTGCTTCTATTTAATTTCATTCGCATAGCTTTGAATTGATATTGAGCTGTGTATTATTGAGGTTTATATAGGATACAATTTTACATAGTTCGGAACAGGAGAAAGCAGAAACTGCAAATGTTACGCGAATGTCTTAAGGCCGTAGCCGAAACGTCGACGTCGCCGACGCCGCGTCTGCCTGCCGCGTTCAGTCATTAGGACTATATCGAGAGCATTACAATGACATTACTCAGATGCACCGGGCGATGGTGCAGAAATGGCACGCGCTGGTGCGCCCCCCTGCGCCCGCACCGGCCGCTGCTGCAAATAGCTGCTGGTGTTAGTTATTCCGGGCGCGGCCGTCGACCCGCCGCCGCGACGCCGTCTGCGCGCCTTTTTAGCGAACACAACTTACAACACAGAATTTTTTGCGAACGAATATCGACGATGTCAACGTACGCACTTTTTACATTTCTTAACTCATTTTTGGAGACTGCGGGAAAGCTCGCAAGGATTAACGACTCATAGCGTGCACTGTATCATACTGTATAAAAGGGTATGGCTAAAGTTGGCGTCGTTTTCGACCAATGACTTTTGAGTAGCTACTGGAACATATTAGCGATAGCCATTAAAAGAAAACTTTAAAGAAACACAAGTTTTATTATGGAAACTATGTAGCTAAATAATATCAGACCTAAGAAATAATGTGTATGTATAGATTTGCAGAATTTCAAATTCGATTACGGCAAAAGTGATTCATAAATATTTTATTTGTAATAAATCGTAAATTTTTAAATATAAAATTAACACAATATAATATAATAAATAAAATAACTACTAAAAATTAACTACGTCACAATGTAAGCCATACCCTTATGATAGATACTCGTATGTAAAATTATACTCACAGAGCGATGTTAATAGTTATTGTATAATTAACTGTATTTCTTACTTAGTTTAAGTGGATAAGTATCCTACTTAAAAAAGTAGCTAACATTCTTCTATCTTAAATATTGTATAACAGATTTTATGACGATTGGTACAGCCGTTAAAGCGCCAGGAATTAAGAATACACATAAGCATTTATAAGGTCAATAATATTAATAAGAAAATCAAACTTGTCTTTATATTTATGCACATTTTATAATAAAATATGAAATATGTATGAATATAAGGACAAATTATAATAGCTTGAATGAGTTAAATACTTGATAAAGAGTATAAACATTACGTTTGGATACGGCGGAACTGAAAGGCGACCATAAAGTCTATCTGAGGCTCATAACTATAAAACGCATCAAATCTGATTCACTGTTTTGCCTTTGTGAGAACTCTAGTTGGCCGTCTGCCGGTCGCTCGCTGTAATAATATAGTTTATCGTGCTTTTAATAAATCGCCAGTGCCATATGAAGACTGTAAAATGTATGATTTTTAATTGAAACCCCGCCAGGTGTTGCGGTAATAAAACTTAAATGAATTTTACGCTTGTAAAAGGGAGATGGTTAGTGATATCGGAGATATGATTTGGTATTTATAAAGGAGTGATTTAACAGAATTTACATAAATAAAATTATTTAATAATCGAATATTATGAAATAATAATATATTACTTAATTGGTGTCAGTTAAGGATATAATAAAATAACAACCTTATCAGAAATGATGACATACTTGGTATCTCACGGAACTTATATTCCTAGTTTGAGTATTAGGAAATAGTGTATTTAAATACATATATACAATGTAAAAAATATTTCCTAATGTTATCGTTTGTAGAATAAAAATCTATCTAAAGTAATACTTAGGCTGTCTGCAGAAAGTTAAAAGTAGATATTATCAATCTTCTGGTCAATATTTATATGACGAATTTAGTTTTGCATTTTTAGCTTATACCGGCCATCGTCTTAATAAGTTTCTAAGGAGTGTGATAAATACGACTTGTGGACAGGTTTGATTTTGGATTGGAAGTTTACAATGTGTCTAAGCACAATCAGGACCAAGTAGAAGTTGTAATTGCGATTGTTTAGGAAGCGAAAGGATTTTCTACAATTTAAGATTTTTTCCAACACATCGGCTTCAGTCCTG